ACTTACTTATTGCTAAATAAAACTTTAAAGTCTCCCCTTAAGGGTAAACAGACGCATTCCTAGACTAAACAACACAACTAGGACAGTTGCATTGTAGCGAAGAGGACAGTTTCAGAAATAGCAATCCATTCCTGAGCTCGCTTGCATAACTTCATGCACGCAGCGGGCGGAGTTCACATCGGCAGCTCGTATTTATCCTTATAAATAGGCTCATAATACATTTGAATCGCATTAATATCATACACATATCTCTGTCAGAGGCGTAACAGAAATAGTGCATCCTGTTTAAGCGCGCGCCAGGCGGCGACGAGCATCGTGCTGCGCCTGAGTGTTGAGCCGAGCGCTCGGATCCGACGGATAATCGATTTTACGAGCTCCCGAAATAAACCGAGTCCCTTCGGCACAACATGCATCATCGACGGTCACATTCTGCACCGAGCTCGTGTTGTTCTTTTTTACTTAAACGTATGACTGGACGTCCACATGTTGTTAAAGAAACAACCGCACTGACTAAACGAAGTTTGTTACGATTTTCAAACAAATCATAAACAGCTCGACTATTGAACATGACATCACTGTTGAACCAGTTCGTTTAATCAGAGAATTCGATCGATATGTCGGACGCCTTTTAAGACCAAGTTATTTAGCCAATGTGGGAGAGGAAAGCAACGTGGGCGCTTCTATTATGGACCTTAATTCAAAGACAAAATAGGGAAACTACATCTATTTTAGTACCTACTATCGAAATTATAGAAAACGGTTTGTAGCTAGAATGGCGTCCCGTCAAAGGCAATAAATGGGTCCGTTCACCCAAATAGTGCTGTGGGTGTGTGTTTTATTGTTACGAGCGGGTTAACGAGCGCCGGTATTGCCATGCCCCGTATGTCTGTGCCCCGATCCTCGTCAGCCCGTCTTCCTATCACAAACAGAAACATGTGAACGATTCCATATGAATACTTTCTCGTATTCTATTCCGGATCATTGAAATAAGTGCTTTGTTTAGTTACGTATCATTACGATTGGAGTTTTAGTACGACTACTGATGCTTAACACTTTTGAAATGAATCCAATTATTTTCTTTATTCAATCTGTCTTTGTTTTAAAAGGGGTCTTGTCCGATTGATTCGAAGCGTCATTTCAAACGAATTTCAGCAGATTTTGTGAAAAGACTACGAGTTTCTCAATACAATTTTAATGTTCGTGTGGGTACTTGTAAAACCAAGATGTTTCGGCGCATGCGCACTGGGACAGACTGACACATGTCATGTCTGTCGACATTTACGACTATCCCACATTTGAAATAAGAATACAAATGTGACGGCCGCATGTGTGGCCTCGTAAATACGTCGCTGTACCCCCAGAAAGGTAATAACTAGCGAGTTAAGTGTACCATTACAAATATTTTCATGAAGGTGATGGATTACTTGCAATATCTTCTAGTATAGAGCTAAAAGATATGAAGTTCTATCTTCAGAAGGGAAGTACCCCATTTTATTCCCATATAATATAAAAATTTTCGAGAAATCACAAAGTAACACGAACAACACAGTTGTAGGTTGTTTATAATGTCGACTTTACAACTTTACGGTCAGTATGGGACCGCAGCGCATCTCATTACCTCATCACAATACATATTCATGAGCTTCATAACACTATAAATATTGCATCGCATCCCGCTCTTGTCAAATAAATATATTTCTTTACGGCGTGAAACCAATCGTTGTGGAGATAGCGTTATCGTTTAATGGCCACTTGAGCCACGACACGACGCCACATAAACACAAAAAGAAATAAAAAAACATTCTTAAAAGCGGCCGTCCGTTCGCGCCTCGATGTAATAACATTTGCATTTGCATTTCCTTGCGTTTGCGCCGCAGACAAATGACTCGCCTTGCCTCGAACGCATCAACTCTCGATAGATCTCAATGCTTTATTGAGTCATAAATTGCACTTCAAGTACTTTGTTCTAATATGCTAAAAGGTTTCAGTTTTATTGCGATACTGATTGACTGTCATAACATTTACAAATTCGATTACTCCAAAGTAGTAAACTTCAGTCTCAACGTATACCATCGCACCTTTAAATTAAACTTTATGAGCGTTAAAACATTGAAACTCGTAGCGTAGTGTGTTCGGTAACTACTTGAAATAAATGAGCCTAATTAACACAATGCAAATCGTACAAACATTAATAAAATGTTAGCTAACATGCGCCGGCGGCGGAGGCCGGATCAAACATACGAGCAAGCGAACAAACACCGGTGTTTGGACTATCGCCACTTTCGGTTCTGTACAAATAGGGACCGTTGTTTGTTCAAGTGCCAGTGACACGCCACTGCGGACATCTTTGTCCAGCTTAACATTATCTCTGAGAACCCTTTAAGCCCCTCTTCTGCAAGTTATCTTATAACGAACTGCAAGGGACGGTGTGGGTCTATTTAAGTTGGTGGCGGTTCAAAACAAGGCGACACCTTTCTCAGCCGTAGTGGGTAGGATTTACTTGTCAGAGGTTTTAACGAGCTAAGTAAGGGTTGACATAGGCTATAATTTACTCGAGGCGAAGTTCAACAAGAACGTTTACGAGACTCGAAGAGCACGAGCCAGGGCATTGGAAGTGAAACCAGATTAACAGGACTAAAATAAAACTAGGAACCCTGCCATTAAGTGTCTGACTGAATAATAACAAATACTGATGAGCGATCGCGATCGTAAAATATAACATAAAGAGGTTAAAACAAAGAGTTTTTTTTATTATACTTTAACGAGTCTCAACTCTCAGTGGCTTCGAATTACACTGTCATCTTGATTACAACCACTTTTTTGTTTACATCAGCGACTGTCAGTCTGGTGTAAAATTACAATGTTACTGCATGTAGCATAGCCCGTAGATCAGATTACTTTTTTAATAACAAGAGTACCTGAATAATAAGAAGATTAAACATGAATGTAAAAAGACACCTACAACAACAGATAAAGCTTGTGTCAGTTCTCAGTTGTCTAATTGCTCTTTTCGTGTGAATAATTTTCGATATTTATCAATTTCGACACGCATAAAACAAACAGGTTTTTTGTGTATTAAATATTTGGCGAAGAGAATGTTTGTTAAATATTTCTTTACAATTACCTACACTCGTAGTCGTAACTCGTACAACAGGATTCCTGCACGTCCAAAAGATTAAACTTTTGTGGAAAATTTCTTGAAAATTCGTTATTGGTAATTAAGAATATGGCGTCTCTCACGATATGGCTGGAAGTAATAAAAAGAACACATTGTTAAAATAAATAAAGTAAATAGCCATTTTGATACTTTACGATCATTACCTGTGAGTTGCGAGATAAAGTTTACGAACCTACGTGTACACACTGTAAATAATTGCCTATAGCTTGTAGGACATACTAGGTGCCTACCTTTATCATTTAATTTGATCTTGCTTGATTAAGTATCTAATCAATGTTAAAGAGATAAGTTTAAAGCATTCATAATTCAGTTACATTCTTATTTTTGTACTTATTGCATCCATTACCCCTTAACAAAAATGAAAAGTTTGAACTCTAGACAAGCTGTCTACGTCAAACTCAAACTAACACGTGTTAAATGTTGTTGACATCATAAACACAAATAATACAAACAGAAGTAGGACAGTTCATATCGCAAAATTATCAATAAACTGATAATCTAACACGATCTAAATTTTACAACCGATCTTGGAGTAGTTACATACTACAGCCGTACTAAGTTACGCTGGTTATAATCTTGATAGTTCTTAATTCGTCTGTTATCGGGTCTCCTTCGTAAAGGTTCGTGTATTGACACACCTGCCAACTACAGCTGTACTTTATATTGTTTCTCGTTCTACCCATTGACTGTTTAATTATCTTAATTACTTTGCAAACCACCATTGATCTTACTTAGTAAATGGTCGAATGCTTTTTACTTGAATTTTTAATTATTTATTTTAGTACTAACTGTTACCATAATAGTTTATTTAGAACTGTCGTTTTGTTATAAAATTGTCTTAATTGCTTTATATTGGGCGATGAGTTAGACTGACTATAATGTAAAAAAGAGGCGTCTGTTATCCACAATTAAAACATAAATATGACTTACGTATAAATTATAAACAAAGTCATGTAATATGCATTAACGCAGTTTTTCTTATTGTTTATTATTTATAATGTCATACGTTATGACGTCTGTACTCCAACCCTGCGCCTGGGCAGTAGCGCATTCACACGTACTTGCGTAGCTACTCGTAAGATCTAGATCAACCGTAACATCGTGTAACATGACCCGGTTGACTGGTTTGCGAACGTGGCGCCATCTATGATAATTTAATCTATGAAAAGATGTAATTCTCAGGTCATGATATATGAATATGAGACATTTACACCTTTTTAAAGAACTTGTTAAGAACTTTATAGTTTCCGAACGATGTCTTTTAGTCCAGTTTACCATTTCATATTAATTTAATGTCTTTCCATGTTATTGCTGGTTGAATAAACTTATAAATGGGAGTTCCTTCACTTAAACAACTTCTTGCATGAACTGAGAGAGCTCATGTCTTATAATTATGGAGTTTATTATGCTGGTATCATATCAGCTTTTGCCTGTGGCTTCGTGCATAAATGTCTAGAATGGAAAATCTTTACCTAGTCTATGTGCAACTCTCATACACTTACGTCCATTTAAGTTTCATAATACATTATCTAATCACTCAGTTTAAAAAAAATCTCAGTAGTAGCACTGAGTCTGGCATTGTGCCCGGTATATGGCAATAGACTCACCCCCTATTACATGGGACTCATAACACAAATAGTGATAAGTGGGTGTTACATTGTACAGTGGCATAATGTGCACCTCTGCCTACCCCTTCGGGAATAAAAGGCGTGATATTATGTTATGCCACTCAGTAATTTGAACATAATTCCATTAGGTATCCAGGCTCTCCAGAATGTTCTATTTATGGCCGAGCTCTTATATTCTTTTCTATGTTTTACAGGTGGGTTGTAGTAGCAGGCGCCTGGCGAGCCAGCGTGTTACGTCCTCCAGCGCCGACCACTGCAGCTTCTCGCACCAACCGTCACTCGTCTCTGCTGCAGCTGGCCGCGTGGGGAGTGCCTGCTGCGTTAGCTGCTGCAGTACTGGTGACTAGAGATGTGGACGCTGATGAGCTTACTGGTAAGATCTTGTCATTTTTCTACTAATTTTATAAGTAAGGTATTTTATAAGTGGGGTTGAATCTTTTAATCCTTCATGAAGAATGTTACCTTGATAGGACTGGTAGGTTAATATCGTCAAGTTTTTCATATGTTCTGATGATATTTATATTAACACCCGAATACTGAAAGACTACTCAATTTTAAGTTCTATCGTCTAAATATCGTACCGTCTCTGTCATTTTACAAAGAATTTGTTGTGACAGAACTATACTTAATTAAACGCGACTTACAACTGAGTGGTGTTCGAGTATTTGGGCATAAGTAATCTATTTGATCGTAATACCCATATTTGCAACTGTTTTCAATACATTGCTTAATTATGTTCCCTATTCTTTCCTCATTACCTGCAATAATAAGGTCGCCAACTTCTCAAAATGTCACCTGTCCTCCAATGACATCTACGAGGACGTTGATTATTATAATTGACAGTAGCCACAATAATTAATTACACTCGGTCCCCGTTAATATCAAATCAATTAGTCCGACTAAAGCCTATTAGTAAACATCACATCACTTCAAAAAGGTGACATTTATATTCTGAATTTACATTAAAAAATAACGTTTGACACATCATTACGATGAAGGTAAATAGAATTTTAATTTACGATTTACAATTCCGATATGCAAGCGACTTTTACACACCATCAGTGATGTCTATCATATGTTTTTATAACACCTCGTTTCTCAGTAACTGGGTCCACCATCTATGGTAGTTGGAGACCGGTTCGATAGTTAACGAGTGTATGGACCATAGACCAAGCAGGTTTGTCGCGAGACACGGCAGAAGGTGGAATATTCAATTCATCAAAGTAAATGTCATTGAGTAATGCGAATTCCATTTAAAATTCTTACTGCAAATTAGTAGCAATGAACATTTTGAAAAGTATTCTTGAAAATCCTTTATAGAAAAACGTCTTACACTAATCCTCCCCAAAACAAAGGTTCATGCATAGTGGCTAATAATTTTTAAGTTAATATATCTACCTAAAAAGTCTTCGCTATTAACAAACCCCATGTAAGATGACCATATGTAATAGGTAGTCGATCAGGAACAGTTTTTCTCTTTACCGACACATCTCTAAATGGTCATGATAGAAGTTCATTGCTACCGAAGGAGGTTGCACTATTACAAACATGATTCACCGTATTGGACATTATTTATTAGGATCTAGTCGTATTGCCGTTTAGACTAACTTAAATACATCCTTGTCCTTGGGTTGTATAATAACGCAAATATTTGGAAAAGAGGGAATAAATTTTTCAAAACAGTAAAGTACAATCACGTACAATATGAAAGCAAAAATGAAGTCCATTGTTCTTTCGTGAATCAATCAATAAGGTCCTAATACTCGTACATTACCGTAGCGAAACAACACAAATGCAAGAAACGTTCCTGTTTTTAATAGTCCTTTCTTGTTTGATCGGCGGCATTTTTCAAAGCGATTAAATCTGGTACGAGTGCTCGGGAGCACGTATTCATACTGTAATGGTATTGAGTAGTTTGTATGGAAGTACCGGCTTATTGTGATTTTGTTCGTGTGCTAAACAAGATTCTGACTTGGTTTTGTGCCATTAGACGATATGTGGAGATTAATTACATCTATAACAATAAATTATGAAATAGAGCCTGTCTATCAGTTAAAAATAAACGTATAATTTAAACGCAATTCAAACAAAGAGAAAGAGGAAACATTAGATTAGAATTTCCAGGAGCCATGTCGTAAATTTTAATAAATATTATTTTGTATTTTAATCTTTAAAAGAAACCGCTGCTTGCCCTATCTGACCCAGAGCGGGGATTTTTAGAAAGATACACAGTATCGCATCGGTATCAGTAAATCCAGAGATTTGTCGGTCGAATCGTGCGATGCCGCTTTGGGCACTTGGGCTACAATAGGACCGCTGTTACTTGGCGGCATTTTACATCTACCTAACATTGCAAAGAGACACACGTGTTCCTACATTGTTACAACGATCTTTACATAAGAGATAAAACTTAGTAGCACCTCTAACGGTTATATTTAGAAAACTACAAGATACAGAAACGGTTGCTTTGAAAATTATTGTAAACATTGTAACTTTAATATTATCAAAAAATCCTCTTATCATTTAAGCTGAGGACGATTAATTTAGACAGAGGGAAAGAACAATACAAAAGTGCCGCTCTACAATGATAACGTTTACGTAGGTACTTAGTAAGAAGTTTTTATCGTAATCGGGTGGTCGGTAATGCTTGGATCAGAGGCATCAGAACCCTTTGCGGTTTTGATACAGAGACGCGGTGCCGACAAAGACTGTCCTCTTTGAAAGTAGTGAGATTACAATTGCTTGTTTAAAAACTTCTGTGGTAAAGAATAGGTACTGTCTGTACAAACAATCTTAGGGAACTGTTGAAACTTTCTCAATTTTGTCTACTATTGCTTAAGCCTTTGACTGCCGACAGAAAACTGCTGAAGGCAAATCCTCCGCTAACGTAGGTCACCGGTGACCTTCGCGGCAGTTAACGTGTTAACTATCTGTTCTTTTTGGTTTTTGTTGGTTGTTGCT